CTGGGGAGTTCTGGGTGGTTACTAGGGAGTTGTTGGGGAGTTCTGGGCGGTTACTAGGGAGTTGTTGGGGAGTTCTGGGCGGTTACTATGGAGTTGCTGGGGAGTTCTGGGTGGTTACTAGGGAGCTGTTGGGGAGTTCTGGGTGGTTTCTAGGGTGTTCATAGGTAGTTGCAAGCAGTGCGGGGTAGTAATTTGGATTACATAATCATATTCCAAAAATTAAGCACCTGTAATTAGATTACATTTTAAAATTCTCGTAATTAGACTACAGTTACTTTTTGTTGATTATATGATTACGTATTATTCACACAATTGCAATTAATTATTAATAATTTATGTATTCTCCCTAATTCGTTTTTTTCTTTATCTTTTAAATTCATTTCTAAAATAGCCTACCGCTTATATACATTCAGATAATACATAAAATACATATAGATAATTATATACATTGGGAAACCTTGACACAATGTAACGTTTATTGCGCTTCATGTTCTCCCCCCGTGTCTCTCTGATCTTCAGGTCTGTAGATGTGGCTCGGTTCCCCTCCTTGAAACCAAGTCTGTGGGATTTTTAACCTGTTTTATTGTCCAGCAGGTGAAAATATTTGGGTCACTTATTAATGTTTATGCTCAGTGTTTTGAACACACCTCTAACACTGAGCACTAGTAACAGTGATGCTTGACTTAACAAACACCAGTAATAACACAATCAGACACAAAGATCTGCTCGTTCCTTGTTCTGCTTCATGTGTTCACTAAAGTCAACAAACACAGATCAACTGTTAAAATCGCTATTTATTTTTTATAATATCAGTGGATAAGAAGAAACAAGAGATTCAGATAAAGGTCCACTAGATGGCAGTATTATATTGGAGCCACTTCAGGTTTATATTGAAGCCTATTTCTGCCACATAAAAAAAATAAAAAATAAAAATAAAACATGCTTTGATAAATCATAATTGACAAAAAAAAAATTAAATTCTTTAAATTAAATCATTAAAACACAATTATGAGATAACATTTGAAATTATGAAATATTAAGTCATAATTGAGATAAGAAGTCAATTATGACAAACATATATAATTATAACATACTAATTTATGGCAAAAACATCAACTTTTTGTCATAATTACATTACTTTTTATCTCATAATTTCGAAATGTTATCTCATAGTAATTTTGACTTATTTTTTCGATGAAATATGTTAGATGATATTAGTCAGAATGTCTGTTTTATAGCATAAATATAGCTATAAACACTGGGGCCCCCCAAGGATGTGTGCTAAGCCCCCTCCTCTTCACTCTGCTGACCCACGACTGCACACCGTCACACAACTCCAACCTCTTCATTAAGTTTGCGGATGACACGACTGTAGTGGGTCTCATTAGCAACAGAGATGAGACAAACTATAGGAGCGAGGTGAGCCGCCTGGCCGGGTGGTGCAGTGACAACAATCTCTCTCTGAATGTGGAGAAGACGAAGGAGATTGTTGTTGACTTCAGGAGAGTGCGCACTCAGCATGCTCCTCTGTCCGTCAATGGTGTGACTGTGGAGAGGGTGAGCAGCACCAAGTTCCTGGGTGTGCACATCACAGAGGATCTCTCCTGGACTGACAACACCACAGCACTGGCCAAGAAAGCACAGCAGCGTCTCTACTTCCTCCGCAAACTAAGAAGAGCCAGAGACCCGGCCCCCATCATGTACACCTTCTAGAGGCACCATCGAGAGCATTCTGACGAGCTGCATCACTGTGTGGTATGGCGCCTGCAACGC